CCTGGCACTGAGCAAGGCTTGATCTAAGAGTTCATAGAATGTCACCAGCCAAATGTAGAAGGGAGCAGACACCTAAATGGTATAGCAGGAGGTTAGGACTGTAACAGAACTGAGGACAACGTGAACCAGGGGAATAAAAAAGGGTACACCTAAGTCTTCCTGGGGAAATTTAGAAAGGCTTCTCAAAGGAGTAGAAGCTTTCCAGGTAGATAAGGAGGTGAAAGATGAAGGAGGACATCTGAGGTAGAGAAAAAAGAATGCCTAAGGGCGTGGAGGCTGAGAAAGTCGGGCAAACTCAGGGCACTCTGAGTCCTGCTGGAGAATAAAGAGGACGGGAGAGGCTAGCAGAGAAGGGCCGCCAGCAGACGGAGCTGGATAGGGAGGCGAGTGCCAAGCCAGGAGAGGCTCCACAGCCACACTGTGGATTCACGAAGCTATCAGGTAGGTGACAGGGAGCTTCTAAAGAGAATGTGAACAGAGGGATGACATGAGACTTTTGTATCAGAATAAGGATTCTGGCCACAAAGGGCAGTGTTGAAGGGGGTGTGAGATCCCAGGCCTGGTCCTACCCATTTCCCCATCTCGGTGATTGGCATTGTCAGTCTCTGTTAGTGCTGTTCACCTAACATGTCCAGTTCTCCCTCCTGCCACGTCCATGGCAGGATGGCACTTCTCTGCTCCCTGGAAGTAAGGGGAGGCCACGAAACTTGTTTCGGCTAACGAACACTGAGTGTTCATTTTAAAGGGTCTGCCGCATCCCCTTTCCCTGCTTCGACTGATGATGGGGGCGTGTGCCAAGATGCAGCCTCTATCACACTGGTTCTTGATGACCAGAGGCCCTCCTAATGACCTGTGACAGGCGTCCAGCAAGGATGAGAAGTAAACACTCGCTGTATCAAGCCACCGAGACGTGGAGCTTGTTTGTTGCTGCAGCATAACATGAGCCATCCTAACTCATGCTTCAGTCGTTTGGCATGCCAGAACCTGGGCTTCATCGCAGACTCCTCCTTTGCTCCCACTCCTCACCTCCATGTCCTTCTGAATCTGCTTCTAGATGTCTCTCCAGTTCATTCATGTCTCTCCATCCCAGCCGCCACTGCCCTCGTCCAGACGCTGTCCTCTCTTGCCGGGTCAGCTGTGACCCCTCAGCTGCTCTCTCTTCCTCTAGCTGCATGTGATCCATTAATTTTTTTTTTCACGCTTAAGCCAAAGTGATCTTACCACAACTTAGAGTCAGCTCCATCACTTTAGAATGAGTCCCGTGGTTCAGGCCTGGGTGACAGAGGGACACCACAGTCACACAGGAGTTTAGATTCTAAGCAGGTGATGGGAGCGCAGCTGAACTACATGCCCTCAGCCCACGTCCAGTGTGGCTGCAGCAGCCCTCCTTGGTGGCCACCACATCTCTTTCTGAAGCCCGGGGAGCTCCCTCAGCCAGCGTGCAGGGCACCCAGGAGTACAGGGAGGTTCATATTCCCAGCACAACCTGCAGAAATGGGGACGGGAGACCCCTGAACAGATGCTCTCACCTCCTGTGCTTCTCAGGGACAATGTGGGGTACATTCTCCCCTGCTCCTCGAGGGCCCAGCCAGATCGAGCCCCACTTGCCCACAGTGGCAACTGGCTCAGTAACTCACTCTTCATGGCTTTTCCTCCTTCCCTGCCTCATTCTCCTTGCCCCCTTCTCCTGTTTCCCGGGATCACCTCCCGGAGACGCTCCCTGAACTCACATCTGAGTCTCAGCCTCTGCTTTCAGCCCATCCAGGAGCTAATGAAGACAGTCTGACAGAGGAAACAAGAGGAGAAGCAGGTTGAAGGGAAGCTGTTGGGTGAAGCCAGAACCTTAACCACTGTGTTTACAGTGAGGCGCCCATGGGACCACACAGACATGACCTCTGCTAAACCTACAGGAAAAGTCTACCAATAATAAGTGTTCGAGAGGATGTGGAGAAAGGGGAGCCCTCCTACACCATTGGAGGATGTAAACCGGTGCAGTCACTATGGAAGACAGTATGGAAATACCTTAAAAACCTATAAACAGAGTTACCATATGATCCAACAATCCTACTCCTGGGCATACATCTGGAAAACATGAAAACTCTAATTCAAAAAGATATACGCACCCCAAAGTTGAGAGCAGCATGATCTATAATGGCCTAGACATGGAAGCAACCCAAGTGCCCATCAACAGACGACTGGATTAAAAAGATCCAGTATATATACAATGGAATACTACTCAGCCATAAAAAAGAACAAGATATTGCCATCTGCAGCAACATGGATGGACCTGGAGAATATTATGCTTAGTGAAATGTCAGACAAAGAAGGACAAACATTGTATGATTTCACTTATAAATGGAATCTAAAAAATAATACAAATGAGTGTATGCAAACAGAAAGAGACTCACAGATATAGAAAACAAACCTGTGGTTACAAAGGGGAAAGGGAAGTGGGGAGGGACAAAGTAGGGGTATGGGATTAACAGATACAAATTACTGTGCATAAAATAGTTAAGCAACAAGGATACACTGTACAGCAAAGGGAATCATACCCATTATCTTGTAATACTGAGAATGGAGTATAATCTGCAAAGATACTGAGTCACTATGCTGCAAACTTACACATTATTGTAAGTCAACAATACTTCAATAAAAAGGTCAAAGTAAAAATGAACCTAGAGGACCATGTTGCTTTTATTTGTCACTGTTGACCTTTCCCTTGGACATGCCTCATGGGCACAGCGCTTCCCTGGGTTTCCTCCTACGTTCCTGGCCACAACTTTCAGTTTCCTTTCTTACGTTAATGGTGTTGAAGCTGGCGAGGGGCCCTTGAGAGGGTGTGGTCGTGTTATATACTTTTGTGTGTTATATACTTTTGTGTGTTCTACACTTTCCAAAATAGTTTTTAAGAATAACTTGTACATGAAGGCT